TGATAGGAAAAAAAGTGCTTAACATTTTTTTTAAAGGGACAGTTGAAAAAAAAATATTAATTAAATAAATAATAAAAAAAACTTTTAAGTGCCCCTGTCCCCCCATGCTCGCTCGTAGTGGTGAACGTAAACAGTGTTCAAACCACACATGTGTGGTATCGCCATGAACGACAGAGCAAGAGCAATAATTCTAGCACTAGACCCCTTCTGTAACTTTAACCTGTAGAAATTTTTAAAACATCACCCATGGAGATTTGTAAGTACCATAGTTTGACGCCACTCCACAAGTATGCGCAATTTTAAAGCATGACATGTTGGGTATCTATTTACTCGGAGTAACCTCATCTTTCATATTTTAAAAAAAATGGAGTATATATTGTGTTTTCTTAAATTAATAAAGTATTTTTTTCCAAAAAAAAAAAATTGCGTTTGAAAAATATATAAATTTTTAAAAAAACTGTCCATTTTGGTTTCGGCCAAGTGCATCCCGAATTTTCGGTTTCAGTTTCGGCACCAGAATTTTTCGGTATAGTGTATGTAGATATATATATATATATATACATACATACACACACTCTATGTTGCCAAAATTATTGGGACATCCCTCCATATCTTTGGATTCAGATGCTCCAATCACCTCCATGGCCAAAGGTGTATAAAATCAAGCACCTAGGCATGCAGACTGCTTCTACAAACATTTGTGAAAGAATGGTTCGCTCTCAGGAGCTCAGTGAATTCAAGCGTGGTACTGTGATAGGTTGCCACCTGTGCAATAAGTCCATCCGTGAAATTTCCTTGCTACTAAATATTCCACAGTCATCTGTTAGTGGTTTTATAACAAAGTGGAAGCAACTGGGAACAACATCAACTCAGCCACAAAGTGGTAGGCCACGTAAAATGACAGAGCGGGGTCAGAACATGCTGAAGCGCACAGTGTGCAGAAGTCACCAACTGTCTGCAGAGTCAATAGCTAAAAACCTACAAACTTTGTGTGGCCTTCAGATTAGCACAACAACAGTGCATAGAGAGCTTCACGGAAAGGGTTTCCATGGCCGAGCAGCTGCATCCAAGTCTTACATAATCAACTGCAATACAAAGCATTGCAAGCCATGGTGTAAAGCACGCTGCCATTGGACTCTGGAGTGACAAATCACGCTTTGTCTGACAATCCGATGGACATGTCTGGGTTTGGAGGTCACCACAAGAATGGTACTTTCCTGACTGCATTGTGCCAAGAGTAAAATTTGATGGAGTGGCATTATGGTGTGGGGTTGTTTTTCAGGGGTTGGGCTTGGCCCTTTTGTTCCAGTGAATGAAACTCTTAAGGTGTCAGCATACCAAGACATTTTGGACAATTTCATGCTCCAAACTTTGTGGGAACAGTTTGGGGATGGCACCTTCCTGTCCCAACAGGACTGTGCACCAGTGCACAAAGCAAGGTCCATAAAGAAATGGATGCGTGATTTTGGGGTGGAGGAACTTGACTGGCCTGCACAGTCCTGACCTCAACCCGATAGAACACCCTTGGTATAAATTACAGTGGAGACTGCGAGCCAGGCCTTCTCGTCTGGCATCATTGCCCGACCTCACAAATGAACTTCTGGAAGAATGGGCAAACATTCCCATAGACACATTCCTAAACCTTGTGGACAGCCTTCCTAGAAGAGTTGAAGCTGTTGTAGCTTCAAAGGGTGGGCCAACTCAATATTTTTCCATATGACTGGGAGTTCATGTGTGTGTAAACGCAGGCGTCCTAATACTTTTGGCAATACAGTGTGTATGTATGTACAGTCAGGTCCATAAATATTGGGACATCGACACAATTCTAACATTTTTGGCTCTATACACCACCACAATGGATTTGAAATGAAACGAACAAGATGTGCTTTAACTGCAGACTGTCTGCTTTAATTTGAGGGTATTTACATCCAAATCAGGTGAACGGTGTAGGAATTACAACAGTTTGCATATGTGCCTCCCACTTGTTAAGGGATCAAAAGTAATGGGACAATTGGGTTCTCAGCTGTTCCATGGCCAGGTGTGTGTTATTCCCTCATTATCCCAATTACAATGAGCAGATAAAAGGTCCATAGTTCATTTCAAGTGTGCTATTTTCATTTCGAATCTGTTGCTGTCAACTTTCAAGATGAGATCCAAAGAGCTGTCACTTTCAGTGAAGCAAGCCATCATTAGGCTGAAAAAACAAAACAAACCAATCAGAGAGATAGCAAAAACATTAGCCGTGGCCAAAACAACTGTTTGGAACATTCTTAAAAAGAAGGAACGCACCGGTGAGCTTAGCAACACCAAAAGACCCGGAAGACCACGGAAAACAACTGTGGTGGATGACTGAAGAATTCTTTCCCTGGTGAAGAAAACACCCTTCACAATAGTTGGCCAGATCAAGAACACTCTCCAGGAGGTAGGTGTATGTGTGTCAAAGTCAACAATCAAGAGAAGACTTCACCAGAGTGAATACAGAGGGTTCACCACAAGATGTAAACCATTGGTGAGCCTCAAAAACAGGAAGGCCAGATTAGAGTTTTCCAAACGACATCTAAAAAAGCCTTCACAGTTCTGGAACAACATCCTATGGACAGATGAGACCAAGATCAACTTGTACCAGAGTGATGGGAAGAGAAGAGTATGGAGAAGGAAAGGAACTGCTCATGATCCTAAGCATACCACCTCATCAGTGAAGCATGGTGGTGGTAGTGTCATGGCGTGGGCATGTATGGCTGCCAATGGAACTGGTTCTCTTGTATTTATTGATGATGTGACTGCTGACAAAAGTAGCAGGATGAATTCTGAAGTGTTTCGGGCAATATTATCTGCTCATATTCAGCCAAATGCTTTAGAACTCATTGGACGCCGCTTCATAGTGCAGATGGACAATGACCCAAAGCATACTGCAAAAGCAACCAAAGAGTTTTTTAAGGGAAGGAAGTGGAATGTTATGCAATGGTCAAGTCAATCACCTGACCTGAATCCGATTGAGCATGCATTTCACTTGCTGAAGACAAAACTGGTAAAATGCCCCAAGAACAAGCAAGAACTGAAGACAGTTGCAGTGAGGCCTGGCAGAGCATTCACCAGGGATGAAACCCAGCGTCTGGTGATGTCTATGCGTTCGAGACTTCAGGCTGTAATTGACTGCAAAGGATTTGCAACCAAGTATTAAAAAGTGAAAGTTTGATTTATGATTATTATATCTGTCCCATTACTTTTGGTCCCTTAACAAGTGGGAGGCACATATGCAAACTGTTGTAATTCCTACACCGTTCACCTGATTTGGATGTAAATACCCTCAAATTAAAGCTGACAGTCTGCAGTTAAAGCACATCTTGTTCGTTTCATTTCAAATTCATTGTGGTGGTGTATAGAGCCAAAAATGTTAGAATTGTGTCCATGTCCCAATATTTATGGACCTGACTGTATATATATTTATTTATTTATTATGTATAGCCTGGTGTATAGCAGATTTATTTTAATTGTCAGCAATGATATGATAATTTTGTTAGACAGTATCTTTTAGTTATTTAGTTAGTAAGTTAGTTGTGTATTATGCCTAGAATAGCAGTCAGGCTATCGCCAAATGTCTGTTTTTCTATCTCAATACTAATGTCCTTACTGATATACCTGTAAATTGCTAGTTAACCATTCCCTCATTGTCATCAGATTTAGTATTATCTAATCTTAGATTGTAAGCTCCAAGGAGCAGGGCCCTCCCAACCCTCTTGTATTGAACTGTATTGTTGCTGTATTGTCTCCCGTTATATTGTAAAGCGCTGAGCAAACTGTTGGTGCTATATAAATCCTGTATAATAATAATAATAATAAACCATGTCTTCTGCTGATTGTGAAATAACTGTTTTATATAGAAATATTTACTCAGTTTGCCTCTGTAAGTTTTCTCTAGATAGATCATTACAGTACCACTAAACTCTTATTTATTTTAATTCAGGAAGTCCATATACATATAATGTATTGTCTGCTTCTTTAAAATATCTTCCTTCCTGACTTCCTGGCTGGTCCTCAAGCCACTCCCTGTTTGCAGGTGTCTCCCTTGCATAGTCAGGTGCACAGGAGACAACCTGTCAGGGCTCAGGGTATGACCAGAGGTGTGTGGACTGACACAGGGAAACACAGACTTCAGGTATAGCGTGTAAAACAAATATAAATTATTAAGGGCAACACAAACATAAACGCAGTGCAACAAACCAAACCCAAAACTAACACAAATACGTACAACAAGGTGCAACAAACCCAAACCTTAACTGATATATATATATAAATATGGAGCACAACGTAGTCAGGCGGGCCGGGTCGGTAGATAACGAGCAGACAAGGTACAAAGAGTAGGCAGAAGATTGGTCAGGAGTAGCCGAGGTCGGTGCAGGCAGAGTTCAAGCAGAGTCAGGATCAGGCAGGAAGCAGGCAGGATGCAGGTACAGGGGCTCGTGGGAATAATATACCAAGGCCCTGACTGCAGGCCTGGCCATTCCTTAAATACACGTCCTGCAATCAGCCTCAGGTGATCGCTTGATTGCAGGAGTGAGCTTCTGGCTGCTGAGAGCACCCGCTGGCCAGCCCTGGTACTGCAGCCCACAAGGCAGGTGAGTCCCACCACCATTGGCGAGTCCATTCCTGACAGTACCCCCCCTCAAGGAACGGCCTCAGGACGCTCCAAACAGTCCGTAATGGCACATCGGGCTGGGGCTGGGCAGCGGGCAGCGGCACTCCGGGCTGGGCAGCGGACAGAGGCACACCGGGCTGGGCAGTGGGCAGAGGCACATCAAGCAGAGCAGCGAGCACCGGGCCATCAGGCGGGGCAGCGGGCCATCAGGTGGGGCAGCGGGCACCTGGCCATCAGGCGGAGCAGTGGGCACCGGGCCATCAGGCGAGGCAGCGGGCACCGAGTCATCTGGCACGACAGCAGGCACCAAGTCATCTGGCAAAATAGCGGGCACCGGGTCACCAAGCTCGACAGCGGGCACCGAGTCATCTGGCACGACAGCGGGCACCGGGTCACCAAGCTCAACAGCGGGCACCGGGTCACCAAGCTCAACAGCGGGCACCGAGTCATCTGGCACGACAGCAGGCACCGAGTTGCCAAGCTCGACAACAGGCACCGGGTCGTTTGGCAGGACAGCGGGCACCGAGTCATCTGGCAGAATAGCGGGCACCGAGTCATCTGACACGACAGCGGGCACCGGGTCACCAAGCTCAACAGCGGACACAGGGGCGTCTGGTAGGACAGCGGGCACCGGGGCGTCAGGCTGGACCACGGGCACCGGGCGTCAAGCTCGACCGCGGGCACCGGGGAGCCAGGCTCGACCGCGGGCACTGGGGCACCGGGGCGTCAGGCTGGATCGCAGGCACCGGGGCGCCAGGCTCGACCGCGGGCACCGGGGCACCAGGCTCAACCGTGGGCACTGGGGCACCAGGCTCGACCACGGGCACCGGGCCATCCGACTGGATCGGGTCATCAGGCCGGGTAGGATCATCAGGCCAGGTAGGATCATCAGGTCGGGTAGGATCATCAGGCTGGGTAGCGTACACTGGGTCATCAGGCATCCGGGCATCAGGCTGAACAACGGGCACTGGGGCACCAGGCTGGATAACAGAAGGTGGGTTCCCAAACCGCAGGCTGACCGGTTTGGATACTGGCAGGATGGTACTGGTTGGAAAGAATTTTCGCTTCTTTTTGGTTTTTGTTACTGGAGCACTGCAAGTAAGCGCAGGTCTGTAAACAGAAGGAGCAGCTTCTACAGAGGACTTCTTTACAGGGTGTGGGAACAGGGCACTGGCATGTGGTAGATAGCAGGGTATACTGGGCTGTCACTGGGGGGTGCTGTGGGAAATGGAGGAAGAGAGCTTTGAGCAGAGGAATGCTTAGAAGCAGGACTGGGTTGTTGCAAGCTGAGGCTGGGTGTAACAAATCTGACCATGACTGTAGTACTGGTTCAACAAAGCTCAGCTTACACAAAGCCTGTCTGACCAAAGACTGCACTGCGTTTATACAATCCACTAGCACCTGTTGTGAACATGCTGAATAATGCTCCAAGAAGTAATCCGCATCATCCTCTAATAACCATACCAGCGACTCTACTTGGCCTGCACTAAATGGCAGCAAAAAGTCATCCCTGCTTTCAGGGGTACCAGATGAAGCCAACTCAGAACAAGCCTGAATCAATGGTTGCACCTCAGAGAACTCTGTGCCCTGATCTACTAGGAAATTAGCACCACCATTGGCGAGTCCATTCCTGACACAACCATTCATGTGCACTCCCGGGCCAAGTCTGTGTCCACTGAAGCAATGTAGAGCCTAGCAGGCCATGTCTGTGCTCCCTCCCCCCAGCTGGCTACAAAGGAGATACCTATGCTTTTGCATAGAAACCAATCAGCTTCTAGGTTTTGAGAGCTCCAATTGCGGACTATAGGGTGCATCCAGTGTGAACCAGGGCTAAATTGGGTGTATGAGAAGCACAGTGGCTAAATGGTTACCACTTCTGCCTGGCAGTACTCGAGTTGTTGGTTTGAATCCCAACCACGGCATCACCTGCCTAATGTTTGCATGTTCTTCCTGTGCCTGCGTGGGTTTCCTCTGTGTACTCCGGTTTCCTCCCATACTCCAAAGACATGCTGGTAGGTTAATTGGAACCTGTCTAAATTGGCCCTAGTATGTGTATATATGAATGTGAGTTAGGGACCTTTGATTGTACGCCCCTTGAGGGTTAGGGACTGATGTGAATGTACAATATATGTGTAAAGCGCTGCGTAAATTGACAGCACTACATAAGTACCTGAAATAAATAAATAAATAAATATTTTTCTGCTTCACTATAGTCAGAGGTAGTATTCAGATATCCTGCGTACAGCAATTTAAGTGCCCTTTACATAGAGTGCCTTCCTAAGACATTGATCATTGTGCCCAAAATGCATTTTATAGCTCGGACATATGAATAAAACTGGCTTAAGGGTGATATCACATAAAAAATAAAGCCATTCAGCTTACACATCAATTTCTCTAAATTTCTCTAAAAAAAATGCTATCAAAGGAGGGTCTGAGATGGATGACCCTGAAAATGAGTATAACTCCCCAATCAATGGGAGGTTCACATTGCTTTAACTGGAAAACTTGTCTACTGAAAAAGTTATACAGAAAATGCTACTTTTTATTTCATACATTAAATATAATTTACAAGGCTTTAAGATATACCTAATAATAAGAGCCAGCACACCAATTTTAGATCTTGATGGAAAAGTTTACTGAAGCCCATTATCAGCAGAAAAGTTACACCAACATTTTGAGGGAATGGCAGCCCTGTATATCAAAGTGACAGGCAGAGGTTTTAAAATAAACCTGTCACCAGTGAAATTCATGAGCTACCATTGCCAACCTCCTTCTGAAAATGCTAATCACCTGGCTTGTATGACAACTCTCCAGGGCTCAGTGATTTCCGAATCATCAACCTAGAACAAGTATACATCTTGTGAAAGTCAGAGAGAAGTCACAAGTGCTTATCTGCATACTTGTTCGGGTCCACTGATACCACTGATTCAAGGTATTGAAAGCATATCAGTAGGACAGCCAGGCATTTAGCATTTTATAGGGAGAGGTCAGGTGTGGTTGACTCTTTGCTTTCTCAGACATAGGTTTCCTTTTAAGAAAAAACACAGTAAACAGATACTAGGTTATAGAAATTGAGCATGAGGAGCTTGCATTCTTATGCACCGGTACCAGTATCGCTATTGATGATGATACCAAATATTTTCACAAGTACTTGTAAAAATGCCCCCCCCCCCCCCCCCCGTTACCCAAATCATTACTTTGTGGTGCGATTTACATCAATATAAAATGTATGGACGCAAATTGCACTGCAAAGAATAGAATGCGATTTTAACATGAATGCTATTCCTGTCCAACTCACATGCATTTCCTCACTGCTCCTGTGTGAACCCAAGCTTGTCATAACCTCCCTGCACCGATACCATGCTGAGCAGAGAGTGGGAGAGAAGGGAGGGTGGGGATGTGTGAAGTCGAGCCTTGGAATAAAGGCCATCAACACAGTACTTCTATACACTGTTGTCGGCTATCAGGCAGAGGATGGAGGTAGATGCTCTGGATTCTCAGCTGTAGGAGAGGAGAGAAAGCCGCAGGGATTTTAAATCCCTGCATCTTTCTCTCCTCTCCTTGCAGGGATGACAGTACGGGCTAGAGGGCTTTTGATTCAGTGCTGACCAATCAGAAGCTGTCTAGCCCATACTGTCATCCCTGTAGCTTTCTCTCCTCTCTTCTGGAGCATTGCTGTGGTTTTCTCTTCCTCTCCTACAACTGAGAGTCTGTAGCATCTGCCTCCATCCTCCGATGCCCGACACCAAGGTATACAGCCCCATATGCCCTTCTATCCCACTCTCTGCTCAACATGGGATCAGTGCAGGGAGTTTCCCTGCAACATTCCTGTGTGAACTCAGACTGGCAAGCCTGGGTTCACACAGGAACAGTGGGGAAACAGCATGCGATATAGACAGGAATAGCATTCCTGTTCAAATCACATGCTATTGTTTGCAGTGCACTTTGCATCCATACATTTTGTATCGGCGAGTACTTGACCCAAAGTATAAGTACTTGTATTCGCCAATCAAAAAATGGTATCAGTGCATCCCTAATTCCTATAATAATTCAGTGAAAATGTATAGGCTGTGTAGCCACCAATGGTGCCAAATAATCAGGTGTCACTTGCAACATTTAAAATGTATACAGTTTAACCGCTTCCCACCCGCCCTATAGCAGAAGTATTGCTGCAGGGCAGCACGGGTGCACAAAATCACGTATATATACGTGATTTTGCAGTTTCGGGTAGGGGGCGCGCACGAGGCAAACACACGCCCTACCCGTGCCGCCATTTGCAGCCTCGGCTGTCAATCAGTTTCGGACAGTAATTACTCACCGCCGCCCGGTGATTACCGAGTATCTCCAACAGGGGGGGATAACTGTTTGTAAACAATACAGTTCCCTCCCCTGTCAGCTCCTGCACACTGCTTTGCATGGCTGTGCAGAAGTGTTCTTACAGTGAAGCACTAACACAGCACTCTATGTAAAACGGCACACAACACACAGTTACCCTTTGATCGCCCCACGTGTTCACCCTTTCCTGCCCAGTGCCATTAGTACAGTGTCAGTGCTTTTTATTAGCACTAATCACTTTATTGGTGTCACTGGGGATGTCAGTGATACCAAGTCAGTTCCTCCCCAGTGTCGGAATGTCCACCGCAGTCCCTGATCGCCGCCATTACTAGTAAAAATTAAAAAAAAAAAAACTCAGTATGTATACCGCCATTTGTAACGCTATAACTTTCACGTAAACCAATTAATTTACACGCATTGGGATTTGTTTTAGCAAAGACATGTAGCAAAATTAATTTTTTTACTGGACATGTTTAATAGCAAAAAGTAAAAAATATTTTTAGTTTTTTTCTCAAAATTGTTGGACTTTTTTTTTTTATAGCGCGAAAAATAAAAACCGCACAGGCAATCAAATACCACCAAAAGAAAGCTCTATTTGTGGGGGAAAATAAGGACATAAATTTAATTTGGGTGCAGCATTGCATGACTACGCAATTGTCAGTTAAAGTAACACAGCGCCGTAACACAACAAATGAGCTGGTCAGGAAGAGAGGTAAATCCTCTGGAGGGCAAGTGGTTAATCAATACGTAGTAAGTGCATACAGGGGCAATCAAAATGGCACTGTTGGCCACAAAAAAGCTTCATGTATGCAGGAAGATTTGTCTTTTTTTCTATATGTTCCAACAATTCATACTGTAAAATATTGTAATACTAAACAGGATTGAAGTACTATTTGGGTCACAGAAAGCACACCTTCAAATTTTTAAACAACAATTAAATTTTACCAGTGACAAAACTGGTAAATTCAAGAGGTCATATATACTAGATTTCCCTCTAGAACCTTATACACATGGATGAGCTTCCTGGGAAATATAAAGGGACCTTAGCAGATCCTGACTAATAACAACACACTTTAGTTTTCTTATGTTATATAAAATTAAAGGAATTGTATGGCTCTTCAAATAGAAATAAGGAACTTGAATGCTCTAAAACAATTGGAAAATACAGTGGTCCACATCAACCAATCAGAATTCTTATTTCCTTGTGAAGCTAAACTGAAAGCTGATGATATGGGTACCTGCACATAAATGATTAGAGGTCAAACAATAGGTCCGTTTTGAATAGCGATATCTCATAACTACAAGTTCAAAGAATAAAAATCACAAATAAATACTGCTTTTCTTTGCTACTGATCATTGGCAGATTCTGAGATGATGCCACTTCATTGACTACTCTAAAGTTCTCAGTTTATTTCATTATGGAGAATGTGGCTGTACAATATTGTTCTACACACTCCTGTATCCAGGTTTTCTTGTTCTTCTACTACATTTTGTTATATT